TTAGGAGTCATTGTGTTGAATATAATGTCAGTAACGTGTGTATAAACCTTAAGTCCACAATAATTGTTGGGATTTTGTGTTTACAAGGGTCACAAAGAAAGAAAACAAAATAAAATGGTAAAATCTTCAAGGCGTGAACGGGATCACTTTCCAAAAGTATAATTCCGACCCTATACTACAATCGGGTATCACGAAAATTTACTCATGATATACACCGAAAAAAAATTGCAATCACAAGTAGGATGATTACAATACAATGTAAATAAGTGTATGTGATTTGTGATGATGATAATTGGGGTTTGCAAATTGGTTTCAAGAAAAATATTCAACTGCCATATTTTTCTCTTGTTTTTTTCTAATATATGTGTTTGGCACATATATATATTAGAGGAAAACAAAGCCAAACCATACCATGAAACTGATGAAAAGCGTCAATTAAAAAACAAGAAGGACACGCGCCCTATCGAGTGGACCTGAGTTCCAAAATCTAGAAGGTCTCGCGCCCGGTCGAGCGACGGTGGCCCTACCAGACAGTGAAACCCAGAAAATTGAGTTACTCCTCGTGCCCAATAGGGCGATGAAGGCCCTGTACCGGGCAGCGAATTCTTTCTCCCTTCCCCGCCCGGTCGGGCAGTGGTGGCCCTGACCGAGCGGCTAACCTCAGACCAGAAACTGGTGCGCACGAGGTCCGACAACCACCACCTTAACTGGTAGTGAACTTTCTTCCTCTAAAACGTTTGAACCAAAAGCGACACATATTGGAAACTTGAAGATCTTACACACACAAGAGGAATTACTTAAATACATATTACTTGACACTATGAGCCATGTGTCCATATATATTCATAAGTACATCAAAACTATGCCCCAATAGCTTCATGAAGCGGTTAAACTTCGTACTTATATAGGTAGACTTCCAAAGCATGCTCTTGTGACCGAGCATTATGTCAGGAATTCTATTAAGTTAAAACAACCTCTTTTCATCAGTGAAAAACCGGAACTTAACCTTGGATGATTTAACAAGTTCCCAATCATCAAATAAGAGAATTGTTCTCATTGAACTTAAGACCCAACGTCTTATTGGTTGTTAAGTTGAGATTCTCCTAATTGTGATTACAATGGGGCTCCAATCTTAAATGATTGCCATCCTTTTATTAACATCTCTAACCCATACTTTTAAAAGCAACTAGGGAGATTAAACTTCGTACGAATATAAACAATAGTGATTACACTATCCTTGTTAGGTCCTTGAATGTAATCATACCTTACACTAATGTTCCTTAACTTACCATTATACACTTGGTTGTATGCCTTAGCCAAGATCATTGTTATCACAATTTATCATTATTAGTGATATTAACTTTTGTAACAAAGGTATCTCATGCATTAAAACCCTTAATCATGTTGCTTCTTTACCAACATAATGTAATACAATGAACTCCAATGTCATTGTTAAATTAGTAATGCAAGTTTACTTGTTAGTTATCCATGAAATAACACCTCCCCCATTTGGGAATACCCATCCATTACTTGCGGACGAATGATCTCTATTTGAGATCCAACTTGCATCTGAATACCGTTCTACAACAGAATGGTATCCACTATAAGACAAACCATAATCCATGATTTTCAACAAGCATCGAACCGCTTGCCAATGTAGCATACTAGGATTGCTAGTATACCTACTTACTTGACCAATTGCATAAACAATATCTGCCTACTTACGTAGCTTTTGTCTGATACATGCATACTCTTTTGTAACCAAGAGTATAAACTCATATTCACAAAAAGATTATCATTATCCATATAACTTGAATAAATTTCACGAACAATATCAACAAACACTTCATTATACTATCACCATAGAGACATAAAATAACATCAATAATTAAATTAAACATTGAATTAATCAATTTTAATAATTTCAATACAAAATCCTCATGTCATAGACCATGACACTCATTGCCTACCTTTATTCGATTTCTCCAAAGAAAATTCGTTATTGTTAATTAATCAACAATTCTTGACATATAACTCATTGCAACTTCATTATTCTATTATACCATAGAATAATAACTTGAATCATAATTTAACATGTGTCATTATTACTTTTTTATCAAGACAACAAGACATTAATAAACCTAATAATTATAACATATTAATCACAAGATTATACTTTCCATGATATACAATACCATCACACAACAAAGTGACATATTACAACTGCCAGCATACATGCTCATATACTTTTGTCAATGATTAAATGACTATTTGATTTAATTCATGCATGTAAACTTACAATCACAAATAAAACAAAACAAGGCCATTCAACCTTAGCTTTCATGAATAAGTACTACGGAGTAACACGTTATTATACCATACATTATTCATCATACATGAGTAATTGCTATATATAAATAACTGCTATAGATGAATTGAAACGACATCACTTAGGCCATACAAAGTACAAACCATTAACTGACAACCCATGTAACAAGGTGAAATAATACATACTTTGTATAACAAATAATCATGACTGCTAAATCATCCATACATAGCAAGCATTAACCGTCTATATAGCAAATGTATTAACTATACCCAGAAAAACATCTTAAGTATCTTAATATCAATGTAAAAACAAACAGTGATTCACACTCATTTCATGAACCATAATAATTAGTTCATCCATTAACAATGTTAAATTACATGGTTTTAACCAACCATCATGATTTTTACCAATCATCTTTAATAGGCATAATTACATGACACCATATCTCTAATAATAATCAAGACACAAATAGTAAACTTAGATTAAACATGTCAAGAATTAACCATAGAGATAAATAATCGGACATATAATTATATATTAATCACAAGTATGAAACCTCTTACTTGAATGGAGTGACTTTGATCATATGACTGGTTAGAGAAAACCTTCCATCAAACCTTTTTCTTGTAATCCCACAAGAAACATCACCATCTTCGTTTTCATCTCCATACCAAGATCTACACCCTCGAACTTGTCTAATTTCTGGAAATTCGTCATCATTTCCCTTCACATTTGCCATCTTTGTAGAGTTTATACTTTTGGATTTTTGGGTATTTTGTGTTTACAAGGGTCACAAACAAAGCAAACAAAATAAAACGGTAAAATCTTCGAGGCGTGAACGGGATCACTTTCCCAAAAGTATAATTCCGACCCAATACTACAACTGGGTATCACAGAAATTTACTCAGGAGATACAACTAAGAAAATTGCAATCACAAGTAGGCTGATTACAATACAATGTAAATAAGTGTATGTGATTTGTGATGATGATAAATGGGGTTTGCAAACTGGTTTTAAGAAAAATATTGAACTGCCATATTTTTCTGTTGTTTTTTTTTTTCTAACATATGTGTTTGACGCATATATACATTAGAGCAAAACAAAGCCAAACCATACCATGAAACTGACGAAAAGCCTCAATTACAAAACAAGAAGGACACGCGCCCTACCGGGCGGACCTGAGCTTCAAAATTTGGAAGGTCTCACGCCCGGTCGGGCGGCGGTGGCCCTACCGGGCGGTGAAACTCAGAAAATCGAGTTACTCCTTGTGACCTATAGGGGCGATGAAGGCCCTGTACCGGGCAGCAAATTCTTTCTCCCTTCTGGCGCCCAGAGAGGCAGTGGTGGCCCTGACCGGGCGGCTGACCTCCGACCAGAAACTGGTGCACGCGTGGTCCAACAACCACCACCTTAATTGGCAGCGAACTTTCTTCCTCTAAAACATAGGTTCATCTTCTAAATCGAGTTTGGTTTTCTTTTTACCAAGAAAACTTTAATTCCTTTTTACCAAGATTATTTGCTCTAATTACTTTGCTTTACTTAATTAAACACCTTCACCTATTAACACCTTCACCTTTATTAATTAAGCAAATCAAACATAAAAAAGTTATCTCATTCTCTAAATTATTCAACAATAATATTATTGTGGACCAGGTCCACGCAAGATTTTCTGTCAGGCATCGCTTGAGCTAATAATTAGTTGGGTTTTTATTTTTTATTTTTTTATTATTTTTTTAATTTTTTAAAACCTGTTCGTTTATTTATTAATGAAGATTTTTTTTAAAAAAAATTACGGAGTACTACGTACATTACTCGTACTCATTTATATTACTTCTTCCGTGTTTTTTTTTAAGTGTTATACTTTCCATTTTCGACCGTTTTTTTTAAGGAAAATTTTGTGTAGAACTACCCTAAAATAGGGTCATTTGTGAATAACTACCCATTTTTTTTATTTGTTTAAAACCATCCGCAAGTTTGGAAAAGTTTGGATAGCACTACCGACTAACGTTATTTGTCCAATTAAAACGTTATTTTGGCCCAATTTTTCACTTTTTTCAATTACAATGACCAATTAATGCTAAAATAAGCAAAAACCCCAATTCAATTAAACCCCCAAACCATAAAAATCAAAATCCCCAAATAATACTAAACTCATGAACCCTAAAATGAATTCTAATTAAAACCCTAATTTGGTCAATTAAGGTAAATTAAAACCTTTATACAAATTGGGAGAGTTAATTGGGTGGCAAAAGTGAAAAAATGGGCTTCGATAACGTCTTAATTGGACTGAAAATGTTAATGGGTAGTGCTATCCAAACGTTTTCAAACTTGTGGGTAGTTCTAAACAAATAAAAAAAATTGTTCACAAATGACCATATTTTTAGTGTAGTTCTACACAAAATTTCCTTTTTAAGTGTTACACTTCCTTTTTTGAAAAAAGTTACATTAAAATACTATATCTCTCTCCTCTCATGGTCCCCACCTACACCCATTAGTACTTTTTTATTATTTTTTTTTCTCACATTCATTAATTTTCAATAAATTATTAACCCTACTATCTTTTTTTTATAATTTTTTAATACTCTAATTATTCCATCAACCTCTTATTTTATTTAAGTCAATTAAATTTCTTAAAAATATGTGGCGGTCAAACTGTAACATTTAAAAAAAAACACGGAGGGAGTAGTCTGCTAAAGTTACTAGATACCCAACATCTTGATCTTCTAAAGTCATCTCCTTCCCTCAGCACAGCGACACCGGCAATTAAGACCGACGGGATTCCTCGCCTCTCCATCCTGATCTCCAATATTTTTAAAGGTATACTTTAATTAATTTATTCGACCAATTACTAATTACAAATTTGAACAATTGAATTACATCTGTTTCAAAATTAGAATGTTCGATTTAATTTCAATTTTATAATTGTCATTGTAAAATTAAACTCCAGATTTCAGTGTATAATTATAAATTATTTGTTTTTTTCTTATCAATTTAAGAGCTACAATTTGAATACTTAGTATTATATGTAGTAGATTATTTGAATTGAAGTTGCTGATTTTGAATAGGTATTATTTCATACTTATTGTGATGGATGAATTGTGTATTTGAAATTCAATTGTTCCTTGTCTTTTGATTCGTCATTAGACTTTCGTTTGTATGTTTGTAATTTACTTTCTTGCTTCTTTGTGTTGAATCCGCTGATCTAATACATGTTTCGTCCCTTCATTTTCATAATTTAAAGTTAGACGAAGTAGTAGTTGTAAATTTGCAGTAATTTGTCTGTATAAAAATGAAAAACCTAAACTGACATAACCGAAAACGAAAAATGATAACGAACAAACCTATTTTCACGTATATATTAGCAATCACTAATATAGTTTTCTTATAAATTTTTCTCATACACATAATAGCTGTTCTGTATTTAATTTCTTGGTTTGCAGTAGGTGTGACATTCTTGGATAATGCATGGGCGACCTAGAAACCTTTCAAAGCCCGAAGATGAAGCAGCTTCTGCTGCTAAAGCCTCTAAATTACGTGCCCTTCAATCTCAATTTCTCAACTATCATCACAATCGAAAGTATTCTCCATCTCTTACTCTTTCCTTTTCTTTCAATAATCAAATTGATTGAATAATTTTTTTTGGTTGAATTGGGGTGTCATTGATTGGTTGAATTGGGGTTTCAGTTTTGATAAAGAAGCTGTAGAAATCAGCGCTAAGCTGCTTGAGATCAATCCAGAATTCTACACAGCCTGGAATTATCGAAAACTCGCTGTTGAATATTTTCTGAGTCAACCCGGTTCCGATCCTGAGTTAATTTTGAATGAGGAACTCCATGTTGTAAGTCTTTCAATTAAAAGTGCTTTGAATATGTACATTTGTGCTCAATTTTTATGCTGCTTAGATACTTATCAGGTGCTTTGTAGCTTTTGTGATTTCTGGATCATGTGTGAAGACTTTTACGGTCTCAGATCTCGAGTTTTGTAGGTGATTTGATATATGACTATTGTAGGTGATTTGATATATGACTATTTCACTATTTGTAGTGGAATGGTTTATGTTTGAGACTTTGGGATGATTTTGATTGAATTCGAGCTTTGCAATGCATTTTAACAGGGTTTACCTTTACCATAATTGAAGATTTTTTCGTTGATGTCAAGTCCTGATAGCCTCTAAGTTTGGAAGATTGCAAACTTTTTTGCTGATATAAGAGTTGTTTTAGGTTCTAGCAATTGGTGGCTAATGTTTTTAATCAAATTAATTGACATCAATTTAGGTAGAGAGTGCGCTGAGACAAAATTTTAAGTCATATGGAGCATGGCATCATCGTAAATGGGTTCTTAGCAAGGGTCATTCATCCGTAGACAATGAATTACGACTCTTAGATAAGTTTCAGAAGGCTGATGCTCGGAATTTTCACGCATGGAACTATCGCAGGTGAAAACTGCATTGTGGTTTATATATACTGAGTAGTAGTTTGAAACAGTATGGTTTGGTGTAATATTTTTTATATTTTATCTGTGGTGTTTCAGATTTGTGGCAGCGCTAAAGAATATTGCAGATGAAGATGAACTGGAGTATACCACCAATATGATTGAAACAAATTTCAGCAATTATTCTGCTTGGCATAACCGTAGGTATAATCTTCTCATTCTTTCTTACTTGTATAGTTGTATGTTATAAGTATTCTCCCCTTTTATGGTTGGCTGAGAATTTGGTGTTCATTTCTGAATTTCTGGTTTGACATGATAGAGAACATCGGTGCATTTTGGTTAACTCTTGCATACACTTGCATGTGCTCCATGATTCCCTTCTGTATACTGTTACGTATCTCATTAGTTTTGGTTTACTGGTTTTCTAGTGTACTACTGTCAAATTTACTTAAACGAAAAGCTGAGGGATATTTTCCTAAAGAGAAGAACTTAGCTGAGGAGTTTGACCTTGTGCACCAAGCAATATTCACTGATTCCGATGACCAAAGTGGCTGGTTTTATCATCTTTGGCTTCTTGAGCAAACAATCACGAAGGATACTCCTTGGTTGAATTCATCTTGGCCTGCTTCTGATTCTGAGCTGATTATATCAGCAAGCAAGTCAGCATCTGGTTGTATGGTTTTGTCATCTGCAAGATACTCCACTAACGGAGGAACAATACCTGTGATTCTATATTTTAACCAATCTGTTAGAGGTTTGAACTCTTCTACTGTAGCTGTCAGGTCTGCCCTTGCAGAAAGTAAAGATATCATTTGGAGGCCTCTTTCCGTAGACAAATACGAGAGTGCCCAGGCCTGGGTTGCACTGCTTAATTTTTCTGATGTGCCGCTTGATTATTCCATTGCTTATCCAGTTGAAGTTCGCGTGGGAGACTCTTCTGAGATCATTTCTTTGAGTGGGAGCTCCTTAAGTCATGTGTTTGAATTTAAATTTGTGGTCCGCTTTCAACAACTTGATTCAGGAGAGGCTGAAGGGCAGAATCTAGAGGGAATTTTGTGGGAAGATTCCAATTTTAAAAAATATGAAATGAACTCTTGGGAATCAAATCTTTTCTCATTATTTAACCAATTGCAAATTGACGCGGATCAAGCAGGTGTTGATTGTAAGTGGAAGGTAAATATGTTGGCCAATGAGATTGAGCTCTTCCGTGAACTCTCAGCTGCAGACTGGTATGCCTCATTTAACAATTTAGAACTTACTTGCATTCCATGATGTAAAAAATGAGTAGGCAATGCTGATACATATTTTCTTACTCCCTGCTTTTGTGTTTGCAGCAAAATAGGAAAGCTTACTCTTGCAAGGTTGTTGACAGCTCTAGATACAATTGTTTCAGAAAGCAGCACTTTAAATTCTTCCCAGATGGTGCATACTGAAGAAGTTTTAGCTTTATATTGTGATTTGATGAAAATGGACCCCCCTCACTCACAATATTATAAAGAAGAGCATAGTATGGCATTGCTACGACAGGTAAGTCTTTTGTGTTAATTATCTGGAGAAGGCAACCTTTTTTCCTTGCATACCAAGAGTGTCTTGCAGTTTGTAATGAAGATGGAATCCACATTTATTGCTAGGATATCCTATTGCTTATCATTTCCTTGTCAATCTATTATTCCGTATGACAAAGAAGAGGGAATGACACCAAGAAGAGCCTGAACACTCACATGATCACATCTCATAAATATTTTGTTAACTAGGAGGTCGTCCTTAGAGAAAAAATAAGCTTTCTTTTAGGTTTTTTAGCAAGATATATTAGCATTGGATAAAAGTACTAGCACATGAGTCATGATAGCGGTTACCTGGCCGCTACTTATTGTTTCTACAAATGCCTTCATGTTAACATCTGTGAATTGTTGTTGTCATTGTTAATGTGATATCTTCCTTGATGCACCACTTGAAACCCTCAATGAAGCTGTATTCATACTAACTAAACATTCTGAACAAATAAATGTCAAATCTGCATCTTCCTTTTGTGTGTTTGTGAATCAAATTACCCCAATACTTACGTTGATTGTGTTGTTGATCTATAGGTTACTTGTTGCAAGAACAGCTTGTCGAGATATTGTTGGCGCTATGGGAAAATAGCCAAAACAAATAATGATAGCTTTATATGTGTGCGTTTAAATAGTTTATCGCTATCAAGAATTGGGTCCATTGAAAATCTTTTGTGGGTTCAAATGCTAGATCTAAGCCAAAACGAACTTGGATCGCTTGAAGGTAATGCTCCTAAACTGAAGTTCCTACTTCTGAAAGGTCTATCTGTAGTCTGCTAGGTTTCAGCTTTAGCTGTGATGCTGATGTATGAGTAATATGGCATGCCACTCATTTCCTAATCCATAAAATTGATAAGAGATATTTTAATTTAAATATCTGAAACTGCTTCTAAATATCTCATACTAATGTCTCACTTGATATTCAGATTTGAAATTCATTTCAGCTAGTTACGTTGTGCTAAACTGTTTTGATAGCTAAGGAGTCCTGTTGATTCATAGTGTAATGATAAGCTATAGGAAAATGGTGTGTCATGTAAATGAAGCACGGAATCACTCATGAAATTGCTAAGTCGATTTCTCTGCTGAAGATGTGCAAATACCTGAGCAAAAGAGGACATTTTCGCTACCAGTCCTTGATGTAGTTCTATTGTCTTTACTTTGAAACAATGGTTATATTCTATCTTAAACTGTGATTAAATTTTCCCTAAATATCATGACTAAGGTTGAGTGGAGAGGTATAGCGGTTATGGTCTAGCTATTAAAGGGTCTTTTGGATTGTGCTATATCCTTAATCTAGAGGCGTTGGGACAGTGTCATTGATTAATTAATTAAAGTCTTTGGCTTTGGATTGTCTCAACAGCAATTTTGCTCTACTATATCTTTTCTTCTTCTTCGTGAAAGCTGAAAATTTTCACTTGCTTTTTGTCACAGGGTTGGAAGCAATGCAACTTCTTTCTTGTTTAAACCTGAGTAATAACAAGATCAAGAGTTTAACAGCTTTAGATCCGTTGAGGCATTTGAAGTTGCTTAAAGTGCTAGATATCTCGCACAATGAGATTGGGGAGCATTCAATTGACAGTACCAGGTACTTGTGTTCCTCTCCTTTGTCTCACACAGTAGCTAATGATTGGAAGTTGAGCCTATCGTCAGGTGATGTCGACCAACTGACAAAATATTGGGAGGCTTATATAATCTTTAGAGATTTAACTTTGACTCAGCTTGAGATAACAGGGAATGCCATTGTTGATGAAGATTTTAGATCGTTTTTGCGTAAAATTTTGTCAACATTGCAGTGGCTTGATGGAACAATTTTATAGATTTGTTCAATTAATAGCTTGTTAGTTACTAAAATCGCATGCATATGACGTATGAGATTTTTTTTTATTTTATTTTATAACGTTTTGTTTACAAGGCAAGAAATTATATACAGATGGCAAATTGATATGATTACCTTCGTATAGTTTATTTACCCCCTTTTTTTTGGGTACTGAATTTGGACATCATAATTTGTCCCAATTGGATGAGTTATTGTTAATTTGTCCCAATTGGATGAGTTATTGGACATCATAAGTTGTTTGATTCTGGTTTTTGTGAACCACTATCATTTACTTTGCTCGCTTTGTAAACAACTACCATTTAATTTTTTTTTATTTAGTAAATATTGTCTAGAATAAGTCGAACTTTGGCCCATTGACCCAAAATAATCACAACTTTGAATTATTTTTAATGATCCGAACTTTAATGTGAATCTATTCCCAATGATCCCAAGTGACCAGTAACCGGTAGAATAGGTAATTTTTTTTTCAAAATCTTTTGTATACATCCTGTTTACACTAATATCAGTGTACATCGAGCAGTATAAGGGTAACTTTTAGCTAATTTTAGGGTAACTTTTTGTCTTTTTTTGGGTAACTTTAAACATAATACAATTTTTATATAAATCAACAACAAGAAAAGTTTTATAAAGGTAATTTAATTACATTCAATCACTAATAATTGATTTTTAGTCATTTAAAATTTGATTCTTTACTAATAAAGCGTAGATAATTTTTATTTGAATTGGGTTACTTTAACTCATATTGGGGTAACTTTTATTCATTTCAGGGGTAACTTTTAATCACTTTAGGTTATCTTTATAATAGATGTACAATAATTATTGTACACCCGATTTTTTTAAAAGTTTGTGTTTTTTTTAAAAGTTTAAGTTACACGTGTTACCACGTGATTGGTCAAAAATAATAATTAACACTTAAGAAAAGATTATTCGTTACTAATCAACACTTAATTAACCAAATAAAACTTCCTGTCAAAAAAAAAAAACCGAAAAAAACTAATTATTTTTTTAAAAAAAAAAAAAACCACCACCACTAGCCACCCTCCCTGCCCGACCCTTCACCCTGGTTAAGGATGGCAGTGGACGTGGACCCGACCCAGGTCCGTGGATCCAAATCCGTTTTTCACAGATTTATCTTCAATTTTTGGACCCGTCGGATCCGGGTTGGATTCGGGTCCTGCTGAAAAAAAGGATCTGGATTCGGGTTTGGCCCTTAGACCCGGACCCAGATCCATTTATCCGTTTTTTAATTTTCCTAATAAAAACAAACTAAAATTGTTTGTTTCTTTATTAAAAAGTTGATGATGTTAGTAGTGATAAAGATTAGCCCTTTCAACAGATGAATTTTGGATGCTTATATCGAATACATTAACGTTGTTTTTTCACTTGCTCATTTGTAACATCGTACTTTTTTCGTTGTTTATAAATTTTATTTCAAAATATAAGTGTATAAGTTGGTTACTTTATATTTTTAGATTAGTTGTATAACTTTAATTTAGGTTGAACTTAATAACCCTTGACGGAATTTGAAATGCATTTTTTGATCTAAACATAAAAATTATTGCAAAAAATTAGGAAAAATATATTAGATCCGTTAGACCCGTCGGATCTTGATCCGGGTCTCCATTTTCCAGACCCGACAAATCTGGGTCGGATTTGGATCCTAGATAAAAAATGGATCTGGATCCGGGTCCATCCCGACCCGTTGGCTATCCCTACCCCCGGCCCCACCCCCATCGCATCCAAAACCCCGTTCCTTTGCGCCGCCCCCTAAACCACCACAACTCCCACCATGAAACCCATCAACTCTCTACCCCCCAAAAATTCCCTACAACGTAACACCCCTCCCGAACTGCATAGAGCCCCTAAATCGCCCCTCCCCCACCTTTGAAACCCCAGCACATCATCATAAGAAGAGAGTTGTTCAGACATATAACCTTTTCAAACTGTCAGCATTCAATGGGTGGGGGAGATCCTTGCCATTTAGAGTTTGTAAACTAAAGGTCCCCGACTAAATGACTTCTTGTATCCTGTATGGTCCTTCCCATTTCAATTTGGGCTCAGCTTTCACAAATCGTAATTCAATGGTTGCTGATGGCTTTGCACTTCCTTAACACCCAATCTCGGAAGAAGATGAAAAAGCTAGAGGATCTTGTGGTGGAAGAGATCCCTAAAGAAGATGTGGGAGAAGAACAATACTACTATACACCAGATGATGAAGCCTGATTATATGTTTCTTTGCCTAGCTTTTAAAAACTTTGAACTTTAAACTTGATCTGTATTTAACTATTTGTATTTTGCTTGCTGTGGATTTGTAAACATTTAAACAGGGTAGGGTGTTTGTTTATGGATTTTAATGTTTGGAGGAACATATACATGCTTGCATGCTTTTGACTATTTTTCATACTATTTCTGCCTATATGTATGTGCCTTGCTCTTTGTTTTGGACACAAAACACCTTTGATGATGTTGTGTTAAGATACATCGAAGTGCTTTAATTTTTGATGAAAATAAAAAAGAGAAAATAGACAAACTCAATTGTTAACCAAGTTCTGTGCAAGCAAGGAGTTGATGATGGTATATGTTCTAGTTCCTTCAAACTTTTATCAACTTTAATTAGTTTATAGGATTTGTTAGTTTTTTCTGATTTTAGTTTCATTGCTGCTATATAGTGTGCTTAAGTTTGTCATTCATCAAAAAGGGGGAATTTTGTTGACCCTAATAAAGTGTTTATGATGATTTCATGGAAAGCAAACTCATAAAAGACTTAACTTGCTATAAAGTTGTGTGATGATGAGTGGAATCGAGTTATGTGTAATGACGATCTAGAGGAGGAAGGAGTATATAACATGGTTTGATGACATCTTATGAAGTTAAGGAAAGCAATGAAGAAAATTAGAGGTCGAGTTCCTTGAGGGTGGAATTGGAGGTTTGGAGTCGAAGTCTTAAAGAGAAGAACTCGAGGAGTCTAATTTATTTCTGTTTTATTTTAGGCTTCTTATTATGTTCATATTTAGCATATTGATATGATTAGGGTCAAGTGGAATTTTAATTAATAGATTAAGATTTATTTTCCATTTTTTTTATATTTTATTCGAGATATAGTTTGAGAAAATATCTTTAAAGAAAAGATTTTCTGTTTATTTATATACTAATATTTTGGGAAATCTATTTTGGAAAATATTCTTGGACTTGTATTTTGCTCAGTCAAAGGTTGTTGAGAGGAGTAGAGAAGTGGTAAAACATTTTGAGTAAAAATAGGAGAGTTACTTTTGCTCGCTGTCCAACTTCCCTTCAACCACATTTCCTAAAATTAAGGATATTATGGCTAAGTGCCTAAGTGGGAGTAAAGTAACGATAAACGTAACCCGGGCGTTTGGTTAGTGTAGGGAATATTTCAAGCATCCCACACTTAAGCCCCACTGTGATCATACACTTAAGCATGGTGGCTTCCAAAGGGAAGGAAGCTAGAGTAAAAGAGTCACCAACAAGTTTTAGGAACTTGTAAACCGTTCACAGGGTGAAGGTTACACCCCTTAACGATCCATGAGATCGTGAACTCCAATAGGTCTGGAACCATGACTGGAAGTTCAGGGATGAAGGTACAAATCCAACCTAAAAGAGATTGAACTTGCCCTAATAATAGGCATCTACTTTATTCTTCTCATATTCATGTGCGCCTTCTAACTAACATGCAATCAATAGGTTTACCCTAAACCTGTTTAATCTATGTTGGTTGAATATCAATGCACAAACAAATCTATTATTAGCGATCACTTAAATTATAATCATATTAACCTAAAAATATTATTAATTAACTTATTAAGCGTGATCACAGGTACAAATTCCCTTGAAACATGCATAAAAGGTGTGATCAAGCAATAACAATAATAATATAATAAGCAACATAAAATAATCATGTCAACAATAAAGCATAATATTAATAGCAAGATCCTAGGCATGATACTAACAAGATTAATAACAAATCCTAGCATGTCACTAAACATTAAAGATCAAAGCTTTAACCCTAACATGATACTAACATAACATTAGGAAAGAATAGGAAGCATCATAGACATACATAATATCAGAAATATTAGTTAACCCTAAACATGATACTAGGAATCATAAAGACATCCTAACATGATACTAGGAATCAAAATAATCAAAGCATGATAACAAAGTAATTAAGTTACTTACTTGGATGTCTCGTATCTCTTTCTAATAACAAAGTACACACGTTAGTAACTTCAAGGAAATATAAAACAAATAATTAAATTAAATAATTGAAATAAAGATTTGGGACCAAACCCTCAGAAATATAAAACCTTTCACGTATAGCGTGAAGACAACTTCGAACTTGGCTAGGTGTGTCTAGAACTTGTGAATGTGAAAATTTGTGAGAGGGAAGGTTTAGAAAAAGAATAGAGAGATAAAGCTTCTAGCTTTTAGATAGAGAATAAAGAGAGAGAGAGATGATGGTTGTGAATGAATAAAAACGGGGAGATAAGACCCCTATTTATACAAAAAATAGTCCGGAATCAAATCAAGTCATATTCGGAAGAAAATACCTCCTATCGCCAACGACAGGAGTTAGCGCCAGACGACAGGCTTAGCGCTAGGCGACAACTGTCAACGCTAGGCGACAGCTGTTAGCGCCAGGCGACAACCTTGTCGTCTCGCGCTAAGTCATAATTAAATGGCGCTTTATATGCGGAATCATCTTCTTAATACGATTAAGCAGCTAATTCCGCGTTGATCAGATCAAAATCATGTTTGTGACAAATCACATATTTTATTCAAAATAAAACTCTTTAAAATATAATTATTAATCCTAACCTCTTAGAATTTAAAAGAATCTTCTAGATAATTCTAGAAGATTAAAATCAATCCTAATAACTTTAGGAATAATAATTAATAGGCCCTCCTCTAGATCATTGGGCCATATACAAAATCATTTGGGCCAAATTTAATTTTATCCATAACTTCCTCATTATTCATCGGAATTGGGCTTATAATATATCGTTTGAAAGCTCTTTTTGAGTCCAATCCAACTACACTATTATTGAACCCTTATCATGGACCAAACTAAACTGGACTGGCCATTTTCATAAATAGAGTGTAAAAAGAAATATTTTCAAAATCAGAATGAGAGATATTTTAATAAAAACATCCACATCACTAGACTTTTCACACTTTCACTTCGTTCGATAATCAAATGAAGTGAAAG